TGGAAGTGGATTAGCAGGGCCTGGTGCAGGGTAACCACATGCCCTCTGGTGTTGAGCACCAGCGTTTGTGCAGCCACATACCACATACCCAGCTACAGCGGATCCCAGGAACTTGAAGCTAGGAAGTAAGCAGACCTCTCAGGAGCTGAATAAGGAGGCTCTGCAGCAGGAAAGTATCCAGTACAGAAACAAGGCAAGGCTAGGATAGTCATCAAACATGAAAACAAGACAAAACTAGGAGAACCCAGAACCAGAGAAGGATAGGAAGCTAAACCCAGAACATGTACACATTACATGAAGGAAACATTAACTTAACATGGGTAGAACAGGACTGTACATGGACTGGGAATACAAACTAAAACAAGACAAGATATGAGTACTATGTATGAAAATCATGGGGATTTAGTCACATTATATGATTATACATTGCATAAGCCTGCCAACAACGCCAATGTACCCCATATCTGGCAGGTCCTACTCTCCCTAATGTACGCTAAAATAACCATAAGAAACACACATGGTACTTACCTGCAAGAAAGGGCAGAAGACTTGAGCAGCTGCCTGCAGGACACTGAAACAAAAGGAATGATGGAAAACAAACGGGTGTGGCAACATAAAACAAACATTTAAAGGAACCCTGGAGACTGGGAATTCCCGGGATGGAATACAGGAATGAACCCAGAAAAACCCAGCAAAAAGAAAACCAGACATAGAATAGAAAACCAGAAAAACCAAGAAAAATTTAACAAGAATTGTAAAAAGAGTACTGGATACCAGAAGCCAAAGCCAGACATCTCTGCAGAACATGGCATGATGTGACAGATATGTCATCAGAAAAGTCTGAGCAGCTTCCAGAGAGAGTGTCTGCCGCCCCAGATCGCCGATTGTTAGCCCTGTACTGGGTTTGTCTGGTTTCTGGCTTCTTGATTTTGCGTCCCATGATGATCCGGGCAGATAGAGGGGTCCCCCGAGACACCGTGAGTGCGATTAAATTAGTGATAATGCCAGGTTTTTTTTGTTAGTTGTTGGAGCACTAGGATCGTGCAACCAGTCGCTTCAGCAGTCAGGCTCCGCCCCACACATAGTATTTTGATGCTTATTTTTTAAGTCTTGTGTGTCCCAGTGTAATAAAACTTTCCTAGCTGTACTCAGCAATATATTCTGAGTACAATAATACCCCATATTTTATCTTTGGAAGTAACAATCTTAATCTTAATCCAAATCTAAATCCCTAAAGCAGACCCAAATTCTAAACCAAATCATAATCCCAAATCTTACATTAAATTTAATCTTAACCCATACCCTAATACTATGATTTAATCCTTATCTTAATTCTAACCGTGGCAGCATAATCCTATGAGTTAATTCTAATCTTAATTCTAACCATAGCAATATTGTTAGAAGAATTCGCTCTGCTGTTGTCAGCAGAGGAATTCCCTTGCTGAGATCAGCAGAGGGACTCCCGTTCTGACCCTAATCCTAATCTGAACCCTAATCCGAACCATAATCTGAAACATAATCCCAGTACTACAATTAATTCTTAACCTAATCTTAAACATAAACTAAATAATAAACCTAATACTTATTCTAAACCAAATCATAATCCTTAATTGTATCTTAGTCTCAAAGGTTTCCCTCTGCTAATATCTGTAATGATATTAGTAAAGGGATTCAAAGCTTAAACAGAAAGTGGTAGTTGCTGCCATCTACTGGCTATTTTCAGTATGGCAGTTTCTTATCTTATCCTGAAGATAGTTTGCTCAATGGATTGCGATCTGTGCTGTGCAAATGACATAGCCCATCACCAATCAGAACAGCATTGGGGCATGGAGGGTGACTATCCAGGTTCTGTTCAGACCCTGGGGGTCTCCCAAGCACCTGATCCCGTGAGAGAATGACTGTAGTTGAGCTTGATCGCTCAGCTGCCGTGTTAGCTATGGAGTCAGATGGCTATATGCAGTACTGACTTTCAGCAAAGAAGTAGAAAAGTCTGCGGCCACGAGGAATAGCCCCAGGTGAATGAGGGGAACCCCAGGTATCCATTGATACTTGGGTTTCCAATCCCTGCTCACACTACATTGCTCTCTATGGGGATTTAAATCCCCTTTGAAAAAGCTGCATGCCATCTCACTTTGAGCTCTGCATGCAGTTTATCTGTCAGTCTGGGGACACAAAAAAATTGCCTTAGCTGACAGAGAGCATCTGGTAGCTATTAATAACTAGGTTACCTGGTGTGAGCAAATTAGAATACAAGAAAACAAGGGATTTCAAATGATGTAATAAAAGTGTGGGTGAGCATGTTAAAGAAACTTATTTTAAAGACTTTGGAAAAACTGGGTCCTCTTGATGGCACTTTTGGTTTTTCTTTAGCGCAAAAATCACAAAAATGATCGCCATGACAAAAGTACTGACAGAACCATTATTTGATAACCTTGTTAAGTGAAACTACATATGTATATAATTCATGGTACTAACATATATTCAATAAAATTACAGGTTAATTTAGCCTTGGTGAATAAATAATCTTCATTTTAATCTCGACAGTAGGTGAATATTTTCATATACTTTCTTTGCTGCATCCCATCAGCTGCACATTAACATAGCAACATAAAACAAACAAACAAGAGAGAACATCATATAACAGGCATGTTCTTAACCCCTTAAAACCGGAGGGCGTACTATTACGCCCTATTCTAAGCGGCTCTAAACGCCGCAGGGCGTAATAGTACGCCCTCACGGGTTTTCTTACTTACCCGGGATCCCAGGGAGTCCCCCGCGGCGGATCCTGCCTCCTCCGGCCCCCCTCGCCCATGTCAGAGTGAGGTCCTTGCGAGGACCTCACAATCACATGGCCGGGTTAGCTGGCTGCCTCATTGCCAGCAGGGGGACTGCCTCTAATGACAGTTAGTCTCCATGCTGGCTGGAAATGAAATAAAATTGGTTACGTTGCCTTTGAGACCCTATGGTAGCCCAAGAATGAAAATTACCCCTAAGATGGCATACCATTTGCAATAGTAGACAGCCCAAGGTATTGCAAATGGGGTATGTCCAGACTTTTTTAGTAGCCACTTAGTCACAAACACTGGCCAAAATTAGCGTTTTTTGCATTTTTCACACAAACAAATATTAATGCTAACTTTGGCCAGTGTTTCTGACCAAATGGCTACTAAAAAAGACTGGACATACCCCATTTGCAATACCTTGGGTTGTCTACTATTGCAAATGGTATGCCATTATGGGTGTAAATTTCATTCCTGGGCTACTATACAGTCTCAAAGGCAACGTAACCAATCTGGCGAACTTCAATTTCAAATGTAACATGCTATATTTGACCCTGTAACTTCCCAAAACACCATAAAACCTGTTCATAGGGGGTACTGTTTTACATGTGAGACTTTTCTGAATACAAATATGTGTATTTTATTGCAGTAAAAGCAAACAGTATTATGACATTGACAGTTAAAATGTCACGTAGAACTAAAAAAATAACATTTCTTATTTCCTCCCATTTTTTTCATATAAAATTATGTTCCATAGCTAAATATTTGATATTAAATGAAAGCCCTGTTTCCCCTGAATAAAATGATATATAATAAGTGTGGGTGCATTTAATATGAAAGAAGAGAATTACAGTTGGACAGACATGTAGCGCAAATGCCAGGTTTTGTTTACATTTTGTTTTGTTCACAACGTATACATTTGGCTCAGTCCTTAAGGGGTTAATAACCACTTCCTCTTTCTGCCGCAAAACACATAATGCAATAGAGAAAAATATGCTCCACCGAAATCCAACAATGAATCAAATGTAGACACGGGAACTTGAAGAACAGAAAACAAAAGTTCCAAAATCCATGGGAAATTCCAATTCCGATCACTTTGAAAGTCATAGCATCGTAAAGTAGTAAGTAGCATAAGTAAATACATACCAGATAGAATAAGAGTAACAAATTAATCAAATTCACAGTGATACAAAATCAAGGTTAGAACTCTAGAGAAAACAAAGTACTGTATAATGAAAAGTAATTGAGATCGAACATAGACAAAATGAAAAACAGCAGTAAGGTGAGGAAGGGGAATATATTTGCCTCTTGTCATTATTAAAATTAAGATTATCTTATTATTAAAGGCATGAATGCAGGGCCAGAGCAATGATTTTTGCTGCCCTAGGCAAACAAAAATTTGATTCCTGCCCCTATACAATGCTCTGCCCACCATGTGACATCACAATGCCCCACCCGTATGATCTGCCATATGAGCCAATGCCAGTTCTGCACACAGTGTCTTTTCTCTAAAAAGGCAGTGTGTTTACATTAAAAAATCTGCAGGGACAGGCTATAGACACCAGAACCTCTACATCAAGCTGAAGTGGTTCTGGTGACTATAGTGTCCCTTTAATGTGAGGTAAGTTAGAGATTAGTTCCCCTTATAATATACTGGATTGCCTACTTACCACCACATGAGGACAAGATGATGATGATGGGCTCAGGTTGCAGTCTGGCTCGGTCTGGTGTTAAAACAGGCTCTCTGGAGCCAGTGCTCACAAAAATCAACAAACCGGAAGCAGCTCCATTTTTTGGGGCCCCTTACATAGATCACGGTCTGGGCCCCCAGGACCTGACCGTGAGTATGCCTAAAAGGCCTGCCCATAAGCCTTATGCCTACAAGGCCCACCCATGAGTTTGCTCACAGGGAGTGGAGTGTATGTGAGTAGGGGATGTGTTATGTGTTATTGTACAATCCGGTGCCCCTGGGGGTACGGGGAAAGAAATAATTAATGGCAGTGGTTTAGCTGCTTGGCACAAGTTTGGTACCTGAGTGAATGTCCATCAGGTGGTCCATGCACTCAGGGCCACCCGATGGGCACGTGCTATGAGGGGCCCCATCAGGTGCTACTGAGAAGCAGGGAGGAAGTCTCTGAGCCCCTCTCACTTCCTCCCAGCTGAAGCAGACTCTGCAGCGAGGGGGGGGGCACGGGCTAGTAGTGCCTGCCTCCACCCAATCACAATGTGTTAACTCCTCCCCCTTACTGGTATAACCCCGCCTTTGTCCTTATAACGCCGCCCTTGATCGGCATATCTCCACCTCTGTTGGTATAGCCCCACCCCTTCCAGCTGCCAGGAGAGGAGCAAGCTCTGAACTCCCATCAACTCCAGCCAGCAGAAGCCACCCTCCTGCTCCCAGAAGGTAGGAAACTGGAGGGTGGCTAAAATGTTCACCTGTATGTGTGTTTTGAGTGTCTGATTCTGTATGTATGTAGTGATTGTATGTGTGTGTGTGTCATTTTTTGTATCAGTGTGTGTATCAGTCTGTACATCTGTATGTGTATTTGTGTGTCTGTATCTGTATGTATGTGTCAGTGTTTGTATTTGTGTATCAGCATGTGTGTGTCAGTGTGTGTACCTGTCTGTACATCTGTATGTGTGTCAGTGTTTGTATCTGTCTGTATGTGTACCTGTACATGTGTCAGTGTGTTTATCTGCATGTGTGTCAGTGTGTGGATCTGTCTGTACATTTGTATGCGTCAGTATGTATATCTGTATCTGTATATGTGTCAGTGTTCACATCTGCGTGTCTGTGTACCAGCATGTGTGTCAGTGTCTGTGTCTGTACATCTATATGTGTGTCTGGTTGGGTATCTGTATGTATGTCAGTGTGTATATCTGTCTGTACCTCTGTAAGTGTGTCAGTGTGTGTATCTGTCTGTACATCTGTATGTGTATCTGTGTGCCTGTATCTGTATGTGTGCCAGTTTTTGTATCTGCATGTGTGTGTATAAGTGTGTTCGTACATCTGTATGTGTGTCAGTGTGTGTATCTGACTGTACACCTGTACGTGTCAGTATGTGTATCTGTGCCAGTGTTTGTATATGTATATCTGCATGTGTGTGTGTTTTTAACAGTGTGTCTGTGCAACTGTATCTTTGAAGTGTTTACATCTGTGTGTCTGTGTATCGGCATGTGTGCATCTGTCTGTACATCTGTATGCGTGTCAGTGTGTATCTGTCTGTACATTTGTATGTGTCAGTATGTATATATGTGTGCCTGTACCTGTATGTGTGTCAGTGTTTGCATCTGTATGTTTGTCAGTGTTTGTATCTGCATGTGTGTCAGTGTGTGTATAAGTGTGTCTGTACATCTGTATGTGTGTCAGTGTGTGTATCTGACTGTACGCCACTCACCAATCTTTTTAATGGGCAATCTTGTAGTGCAGACGCATGTGCGTCTCGCAATTATATTATATTTTATTTCTGCTGGACACTTGGGACATTAGGAGACTTCCTCTAACTTTTAGTTGAACGCATATGCATTCCACGTGATATATGGATCATCTATTGGACCTTGATCCATTTCTGACATCATTCTATATATTCCAGGTGACAACTTCTTTTTGGTTTAAGCTCATATTATATTTACATTTCATTACTTATGATCATGTTTGGACTTATTTTTATATATAGTGTGTATATATGTGTTCATTTCCTGTTTATTGGTTTCCTAGTCAACCATAGTCATGTGATTATGTTTAGGAGGTCTCCAATCATTGTGGGTGGCCACCCATTTCATTCAGGTGTTACTAATGTTTTATTTATGTGTTGGTATATAAAGGGGTTGATCTCCTTTTCACAATATGCTCCCTTGATAAAGGCGTACATGCCGAAACGTTGGGGGCTATTCTTTGACTTTTACAGGGTCTTGTCAATCTTCTTATAACCTAGGCCATCTATATGTAGAGCAACAATTCTTTTTTTTCAGATCCTCAGAGAGGTACCATGTGGAACTTCCAGTGACCAGTATGAGAGAGTGTGAGAGCCATAACCAAATTTAACACACCTACTCCCCATTCACACATGAGGCCTTATAACACTAATGAGTCACATGACACTGTGGAGGGAAAATTGCTAATTGGGTCCAATTTGCACATTTCCATTTTGTACTTACTTTTGTTGTCGAACAGTTTAGACATTAATGGCTGTATGTTGAGTTATTTTGAGGGGACAGCAAATTTACACTGTTATACAGGCAGTACACTTACGACTTTACATTGTAGCAGAGTGTCATTTCTTCAGTGTTGTCACATGAAAAGATATAATAAAATATTTACAAAAATGTGAGGGGTGTACTTACTTTTGTGAGATACTGTATGTGCTCGCTCTCAGAAGCTGTGAAGCTCCAGCATTGAACAGTTGGTGAGAGCACCATAAGAAATAGCATGAATCTGTGCGAAAGGACCGGTAGAATCCAGCATCTTGTCCAGGGCACTCTTTGTGTTCGGTTCGCACAGGAACCCCTCGAAAGCCAACCAACCATCACCCTCATTCTTATGGAGCTGTTTTGGGCTATCGCCTCGTGGCCGGTCAGTCAGAACTTTACACGAATGGCGAATCCGTTCTACCAAAGCGGTCTGAGTGCTATTTGGATATATTGGGCATTCAGATCAGAGCTATTCGTGATATACAAATTGTGGGGTTTCTGTGAATTATAACTATGTTTTTAGGGTATTTTGTATATCTGGTGTATATTTTCCTGTACATGAGGGATAATTGAGTTACTCAGTTTTGACTCAAAATATCTCTCAGAAAATGGGTCGCCTGGTAGGGGCTTGTGTATGTTTTGTATGGGGACCCCATGCTAGGGGTCTGTGCATAAAAAGACTGTGTTTGAGCGAAATAAACCAGTTGTACTTACTGGGGGGAATAGAGCTATTCACATTTCAGCAACTTGCTCCAGAATTCCTGTCTTCGTGGATTTAGTGGAGGAAATGTCTTTGTTGGACTAGTGCTCCGCTACACTCTTCATGGCCTTTTGATTTCTTTATGGGGGTCAGGACAATTCCATGCTATAAAAATAACTATTAACTGGTTAAATTCAAATGTTTGCCCAACCTTGTCTTGAATTGATGGAAGAGGGAAGTCCACCTTATGGTGATTGCTTATTTCTTTCTTGGGGGGTTTACGCAGCCAAAAATGTGATGGAAGGTGGTGTCCATTCTGCGGAGCAAATGTGTCTAATGGTACATGGGTCAAACATCTTATGACCCTATTAGAGAGTGACATCCTCCTCTTGAGTAGGCCTGGAAAGATTGGAATCTGAAGGGAGGCTCACCCACCAGGACTCTTTCACATATTTGATGGTGCAAATGCATCCTGGGGCTAATATCACCTGAAGCCGACTGGCCTGCCTGCCATTTGTCAACTACAGCAAGAGCTGGTGGTAAATAGTTCTCCTTGTCTGAGGAGGAGCTTAATTTGCTCTCCCTTTTTGCCTTTAGCCTTAGTTTGGAATTTACTTTCCAATTGCATTTGGTAGATTTTGGGTCTCTGTATCAGAGACATCAAAGTCATCAGACACACCTGCCAGATCGAGGGCAGGATGAATGTGAGGTGACAAGTCAGCGAGATATCTTGAAATGTTACTTTGATTTTCAAGCAATTTAACAATTACAAACCAGTAGTAGTAGATTTTGTCTCATCCTTGCTAAGCACAATATAGTGTGACATACACAGTGAATAGGGGAGATCACCTTATGTGGAGCACAGTAATTGCTATAAACACTGTCGATGGAGAGTAGGTAATTAAAGTCCTACCCTGTTGTATACTTTTCATAAGAATATTAAGGCAATATAACTGAAAGCAGATCGTCAAGGCACTGTATAATGGTGTAGTCAGCACAAGCAATCCCATAGTTAGCAATGCAATTCAGCTACACTCACTGCAAGAGCAATGGAGTAACCAGAAAAATAAGAAATTCAGCAGGTTTGGCAAATAAATTAAATCAATGGGGAGCAAACCCCTAACAGACAGAATTAAAGACAAAAAAAGGCTTGTCCCTGAAGTTAATAAGGCACAGGCAGGAAAAAGGCAATGAGTCACAATAACCAAAAAAATAGAAATAACCTGGTTCCAAACCTACTAACTTTCTCATGATCAGGCCAAACATGGAACACATTTGGTTGCTTCACGCAACTAGAATATGATGTCCGTCATAAGGGAATGGGAACAGGTAAAAAAACCGAAAGAAAATGGTACCAGGAGGGAACGCAACTGATGCCATGACTAGACCTAAAAACATGGAAAGAGGATGTTGCTGTGGCAGGATCGCCTTGGTGGTGGTGGGGGCTATAGGAACTGGCTCCACTGGGTGCAGACCTCAGTAATGACTCCCTTGAGTCAAGGGCTGCCTCTGCCTGATGGTCTAGCAGGTGTCCTGAGTCCCTGATGGTCCAGCAGTGGAAGGTGAGGCTTGCGCTACCAGTGGATGCAGACCTCAGTAAACTCTCCCTCGCAGTTCAGCACTCAGCAAATAATAGTTCAAGACTGATGGCTGTGCACTGACTCACTAAAGATCAACAGACCTCAAGGGAGTCATTACTGAGGTCTGCACCCAGTGGAGCCAGCTCCTATAGCCCCCACCACCACCAAGGCAATCCTGCCACAGCATGGCTAAAAATATAAAACAAACTGCCTGACTGACCAATGCTCAGTGGTCCCCCAGTTCAAGTGTCTCCCAGGGCTACCTAGGCAGTAAATCCAATGTAACAAATTTAGTAAACTGAGAAGAGACAGTAACTCTGACCTGTTAGAGTCTTGCAGCTTCAATAAAAGGGGAAGTGGTTATTGAGGAAATGCCTCTTATGTGATGTTCTATCACTTGTTTTATTTTTTTATGGTTGCTATGTTAATGTGCTGCTGTTGGGGTGTGTGAGAAAATCAGCTTTTTTTATCTTTATTCGTGCAACTTTTCGGATTTTTGTTTATATTTCGTTTATTTGTTTGGTAGTTTTCAAACTACCAAACGACCGACCACCCCTCTGGCTCATTATCACTACAGGAAACCTTCAATTAAGCGCTCTCTATGTGTGGCCGCCGTTCGTATAGCCGAACGCCACATGAAAGAGAAAACGACGGCCATCTTGTTTGCACGAAAGGAGGCAGCGGGACTTGGTCGTCGAGTGTCTGGAACTAAAATCAGACACTCAACTTCCCAAACCACCAGTCAAACTGACGAACGCCTGCTTCCTTTTTCCCACACAGCTAGGAGAGCGCTGTTTGGTAGTTTGGTTCCCACGAACCAGGGGAACAATCGCTGCTATGAGCCAGAGGGATCCATTTGTGTATTTGTTCAGTTTTATGACTTAACGAAATAGACCGACCACACAGCCTAAACTTATGGAACTGTTCTGGGCAGAAGCCTTGTGAGCAGTTGGTCAAATGGGACTTCCATGAAATTCGAAAACCCCTGAACTGATCTGGGTGATTTTTGCTGCC